TCGCGGCCCCTGAGCCAGCGGGTGAGTGGCTGCGGCCCGGCGCTGCCTTTGCTCGCCCCGGGCAGCAGCGCTGTCGCTCCCTTCGGCCCGCCGGAGCGCCGCGTCCCCAGCCTGTCCCCCTCGGCCTCCGAACGGGGCAGGCGGGATCGCTGAGGCCGGAAAGGGGCTCTCTGCCCCGGAAAGAGCGTTTTCTGTGGCGCCCTCCCCTGGGGCCCTCCCCGTGCCGGCGCGTTGCCGCCGTCCTGCCCTGGGACGGGCAGGGAACTGCCCGCGGCGGGGGCCAAAGGGGGAGAGCTGTGCTCGAGGGGGAGCAGCCCGCGCCGACACGCGCAGCTGCCTCCGCTCTCGCCGCAGACCTTCGGCAAAGCGGTGGGATGCTTCAGCCAGTCCGTTTTTCACTTTAACAACTCGCAAGCCCTGACGGGCACCTCGGCTGGGAAGCTGGTGGTGTGGGACGCCGTCTGTCCCCGCTCCCGGCCCCGGGAGCTGCGGGCGAAGCCGCACGCCATGAAGGCCATCAAACTGGTGCCCATGCAGAAGGACGGCCTCACCGTGCTCACCGTGTCGGAGAGGTAACGCGGCCGCAGCTTTCGGCACCCCTCAGGCGTCCTGGGCGCAGCGATGCCGAGAGTGAGGAGCTATTGCTGAGCGTGGCGGTTTTAAGTCCCTTGGCAGCGGGCAAGGGCCGGGCAGGTTCATGCAGGGAAGCTGCTGATTCGTGAGACTCCCATCCTGCTTTCTCCAGCAATGAGTTTGGCCAAAACACTCGTCTTTCATTTTAAAATCAGCTGAAAGCTCATGGCAACGTCAGGCCAGCTCTCCTAGGACCTGGGGCAGCTCAGGCCACCGGGTTGTCCACGGGCACTGAGGCTCGTCCTGCTGCGTCCCGGCCTTTGCCGCTGGAGGGAGCAGACACCCACCAACCGCCCGTAGCGCTGGGCGCAGGCGGGGGACGGCCGCAGGGTCCCGCGGCGGCGGGGGGGCCCCGCACAGCCCCGGGCTT